TAGTGCTACTGAAACAAATATTTAAAAATATGGAAGTGGCTTTGGAATTGGGTAATGGGCAGAGGTTGGAAGAATTTTCAGGTGTGTGATAGAAAAATCCTAGACTGCCTTGAAGAGACTGCTGTTGGTGGAAATGTGGAGGATAAAGTGCTTCTGGAGAGCTCTCCAAAAGAAAAGAGGGTCATATTATGAGACACTGGAGGGAAGGCAATCCTGGTAATAAAGTGGTGGGAAAGTGGAATGCGTTGTGTTCTAGTGTTGGGTGGAAAGGAGAATTTGTAAGTGATGAACTTGATATTTACCTCAGAATGTTTCCAAGCAACATATGGAAGATGTGCCCTGGTTTCTCCTTGCAGCTTATAGTAAAACACCGGAGGAAAGGAATAAATGGAGGAAGGAGCTGTTAAGCAAAAAAGGAACCAGAATTTGATGAGTTGGAAATTTCTCAGCCTATCTATACTGCAAAAAATGCTCTAGAGAGCACATCAAAGATGTGGGCTCATTTTGCTAAAGAGATTAGGAGTGTGACTCATGAATGCAGTCCATCATCTTACCTGAACCCTGGAATACAGATGGGGTTATCCAGAAAGATCTGTGGAGGACATACTTCTGTCAATTGCATAGGAGGCAGTTTTTGAGAATTTTATCCTAGCAGAAACACTACTTGCCTAGACTGAAAGAGATGGAAGCTAGGCCAGCAAGGTCTCCATGGGTCCTGAGTCTGGGGCCAGTGGGGCCTCTGCAGGACCAGGGGGCAGAGCATCAAGCCACAGAGGATTATACTTGGGCCTTGAGACTTACTGGAATTTGCTCTGCTGGGTTTCAGACTTGCTTTGGACCCATAACCCCTTTATTCCTTTCAGTTTCTCCCTTTGGGAATGGGAATGTCTATCCTATGACTGTCCCATTATTGTATTTTGAAAGCAGATAATTTGTTTTCTAGTTTCACAGTCCACAGATGGAGGTTTTCCTCAGGATGTACCATACCCAGAGTCTCACTTATGTCTAATTCAGATGGTTTGGAAGATAAGATTTAGGATTTCTTGTATTGATTGTATTTAGATGAGATTTTGGACTTAGAGTTGATGCTAGAATGGGTTAAAACTTTTGGGGATGTTGGGATGGGGTGAATGTATTTTGCATGATGATGACATGAATTTTGGGGGGAGCAAAGGGTAGACTTCTGTGAGTTGAATTGTGTCCCCGTAAACAGTATATTTAATTCTTATCACCTAGTACCTGAGAATGTGACCTTGTTTAGATCTAGGGTCTATGCAGGTATAATCAGGATGAGGTAATAATGGATTAGGCTGGGCCCTAAATCCAGTGACTGGTGTCCTTCTAAGGGGAAAGAGGTACACAGAGACACAGAGACAGAGGAGACAGAGGGAAGAAGTCCATGAGAAGATGGAAGCAGAAATTGAAATGATATAGCTACAAACCAAGAAATGTCAAATATTGCCAGCAAGCACCAGGGGGAGAATTTTTCTCTAAAGCCCACAAAGGGAGCATGGCCTTGCTGACACCTCAGTTTTGGACTTCGAACCTCCAAAACTGTGAGAGAGTAAATGCTATTAAGCTGTGCAGTTAGTGACACTTTGTTATAGCAGCCCTGGGAAGCTAGTACAAGTGCCACTGGGTAAGTGACTTCTTTTGTACTTTTTTTGCACTGGGAAGATGCATCTCAATTTGAACCTGACAGATTTCATAGCTCGGAGACGTGTGACCCAAAATTAACTGTAAACCACACAAACAAACAAAAACCAATTGCTACTAATACCGGCTTTGTAATGGAATTAAATCTCTCTGCCCTTGTATATTAGTCCCAGTTTTGCAGCTTCAGTGTAGTTTGAATTACATTCGGCATCTTAAATTGTTGCCGTTATCAGTGTACAGTTCAGACAGGTTCTAGTGTGCCATTTGATGGTCCAAGTGTGTTCTTAGGGCAGAATATAAGAAGCCATATATGTAGAACTGTTCCTGAAGTTGCATTATAATCCAAATGGATGTTTTTTTATTTTCATGTACTTGGGAAACCTTGGAAATGGGTTATTGCAAACTGATGTGCTTGTATAACGCAGTAAATAAAATGGTGGTACACAGCAAAAACAAAATATTTGTATGTGTGAATGTAAACATATATATGTACATGTGTTTAATTAAATAGGAGGTTGCTTCCATAAGTGACCAATACTGTGAGTTTTCTCTCCTCTATTCTGTAAGATCAAAATATTTCCTCTTTTGCTAAAAAGTGGAATATATGTCTATATTTTCCCATTGTCTATTTTATTTATCCACAGCTAAGCCCTTCTACTCTAAATGCTTATAAAGCAATGCTTTCCTCATGCCTATAGGGTTTGCTGTTAAAATCAAGCATCTATCTGTAGAGAAATCAGCATATTTAGTTACTTGACAGGGAGAACTCTCATTCTGGATGTACTTCTAGTGAGGAAAATTATAACATTCTATACAGAATTATTTGGCGATTGTTTTTCTCTTTTTTTGGCTTTGTTGGGTCTTTGTTGCTGCGCATGGGCTTTCCTCTAGTTGTGGTGAGCACTGCGCGGGCTTCTCACTGCGGTGGCTTCTCTTGTTGTGGAGCACCGGCTCTAGGCCTGCGTGCTTCAGTAGTTGCGGCACGTGGACTTGGTAGTTGTGGCAAATGGGCTCAGTAGTTGTGGCTTGCGGGCTCTAGAGCACAGGCTCAGTAGTTATGGCGCACAGGCTTTGTTGCTCCATGGCATGTGGGATCTTCCCCGACCAGGGCTTGAACCCATGTACCCTACATTGGCAGGCAGATCCTTAACCACTGGGCCACCAGGGAAGTCCTATTTGGCAATTTTTACTGCCCTAAATCATTGTGCTTCTTTGCATGTAGCTATTACGCTTAAATTAAAATCCCAGAGATAAATCCCAAAGGTATTCATGGTGCATGTCAGTGCTTAAGAGGATAGATGAGGTAAATGTTTCTTGCCATTAAACATATTGCATATAATCGTTTATAATTATCACATTTAAAATGATAAAATTAATATATTTGATAACCAGTACTTTATGAGGAAAAGAATAAGAGATGAATTTTGCACAGGACTGAAAAAACTCAGGCCTCAGAAAAGGAGAGCCTCATTGGCATGGTGGGTGTAGGTCTGAAATGTACCTGATGGTCCCCAGGACCAGAAATGGGGCAGGTGAGCCTCACGAACTGAGTGTGGAGAATTGACTGCATTGGTGACCACCTGTTTTTATAGAGCTGGCTAGAGAACAAAAGATGCCAACAGTTTATTTGCTTCCATATCAACTGCTTCCCATCACATCCAGGATGCGATGTGCCTGAGTAAGCTCTCGGCCTGAATAATTACCTGAATTGCAAGGGTCCCACACCTCCATGCTGAGTCAGGCTGTAAGTACCCGACTTTGTATTAGCTTTGACCTATTTTTCTGTCTTGCCCTAATTGATCTCTGCGATTAGGAGATGTACAGTTCTTAATGTTAGGATGAGAGCGCTTAGACATGACAAAAATTCCTGAATAGTCAGATCCCTGGGAGTCACCCCTGTAGTCACAGGACGCAAGCTTCTCCAGCACACTTGAACCTTAGTTAACCTGCTCTGCTTCTCTCCTTTGTACTCCCTCCAGTGGATCATGACATTTTAGGTGAAGAGTGAACACTTTGGTGTTAGACTTATCTGGATCAATTCACCATTCCTGGGTTTAAATCATTACTACCTTACTTTTTTTTTTAAATTAATTTATTTTTAGGAAGACGTTTTTAAATTCATTTATTTAAGTAGGAAGTAATTTTTTTTAATTTATTTTTTAACATCTTTATTGGAGTATAATTGCTTTACAATGTTGTGTAACAAAGTGAATCAGCTATATGTATACATATATCCCCATATCTCCTCCTCTTGCGTCTCCCTCCCACCCTCCCTATCCCACCCCTCTAGGTGGTCACAAAGCATCGAGCTGATCTCCCTGTGCTATGCGGCTGCTTCCCACTAGCTATCTATTTTACATTTGTCTCTTACTTTTTTAAAGACGGAAGAAATACTTAATCTCTATGCTTTAATTCTCTAGCTTTCTTTTGGAAGAATAGGGATAATACTGAAGTGGTTTTGGCTTTATTGAAAATGATCACGGCACTGTGGTGTAACCACAAGAATTACAAAAGCACGGTCCCAAGAGAACGTTAAACAGTTTCAGAGTGTGTCCTGCCAATTAACCCCACTTTAGCAAACCTCACAGGCCAAATATATACTTTGATTTATACAAAGGTAATCTCAAAATTCAGGCATCCTCATAACTCTGGTAAAAGAGTCTTTTTATTCTTGATTAATTATAGAGCAAAGCAGGGTCAAAGAATTTTTTTTTTGAGCATTTATCTTTAGTTTTTAATTACTCGGCACAAGAATTTTATATATTAAGGGCAGACATTTGTTACAATAATTAATAAATTGGTAAAATATTTAATAAGCAGAATAGACAAAAATCAATTTTCCTTTCAAAAGAGCAAGGAAGTCTTCCTTCCCTTCCTATTAAAGAAAATACATTTTACTTTCCAAATATTTGTATATCTTGCCAGGCAAATGAAATCCAGCAGGATTTATGCCTTTCATATGATGAAGATCACCATATTTAAATGGTGCATTTACTGTGAAAGTAACTTTCTCAATCAGTGTCCATAATATAGATGCACTTTCACAGTTCAGTATACAACTCAAAAAATTTTACAGCCCAATAGTAAATGTAAGTTTCCTGTTTGAATGAAGTCTAAAATACACAAGTCAGGGCCCTGACCATACAAAGGATAAATATTCAAAGAAAGCTCACAGTTCAGAATCATCTGACTGTTTTTGGATCCTCAGCAATTTTTTTGTAGTAATTGGATTTAACAGCATTATAATTCCAATGAATGAGTTAAATCAGGGATCTCAAAATTTTGGAATCCCAGTATTAATCAACTACAAATAAGTATTAGCCCATATCTATCACCAACGACTTAGATGTTTCTTTCTAATGAATTGACCATTACATTTCCAAAGTTCTGAAATGGCCAATAGACCATAAAAAGAGACTTTTTTAAAAATTATTTTTATTTTTTTTTTGCGGTACGCGGGCTTCTCACTGCTGTGGCCTCTCCCGTTGCGGAGCACAGGCTCCGGACGTGCAGGCTCAGCAGCCATGGCTCACGGGCCCAGCAGCTCCGCGGCATGTGGGATCTTCCCGGACCGGGGCACGAACCCGTGTCCCCTGCATCGGCAGGCGGACTCTCAACCACTGCGCCACTAGGGAAGCCCTTGTACTCTATTCATTAAAGTATAGGAGAGTTTGCTCTCACTTCTGGGATTAATATAGAATCACTTCTATTCTTCTATCAGTTCATTTGATTTAATGCCAGAGGCGATTGTCCTCCTGAATGTTTGGTTCTCTCTTACTTTGGATGTAGCTCTCCCTTCTGGGCCCTCTTCCTTAAGAACATGTTCTACTCTCTTCTGATCTCTTCTTGCTACTCCCTCAGTCTTACCCTTTATTGTCCTTGTCTGCCCTGTACCATGCTTTCTTCAGCTCTAAATCAGTTTGATAATGTAAGCCCAGTGAATGTGCCATGTAGCTGATCCTAAGTAATTTATAGCGACAAAAAATGCTGGTTTTGGAATCACAAAACCTAGGTTATAATACTAAATTGTGTGTGGTCTTGGGGAAAAGACATTTCCTCTCTTTTTTTCCTTTCCTGTAAAAGTATGGGGTTGAATTTGGGCATCTCTAAATTGTATGACAATGTACTCTTTTTATTTATAATATTCTATAGGCACCATCTCTTTTCCTTTTGACTCACTCTAATAATGGAGATTTTCAAAGCATGTGAGTGAGTGACATTGATGGCTTTTCAAGAAGAAGGGGAGAATCTTAAGGCAGACTGTCCTTCTAAGTCCTCTCAAACTAGAAGACACAGAATGTGCCTGGCTTAGGAAATGTCTTCAACTGTTATAAAATATAGGAATTCAAGTTATAAATATGAACCTATTGAAATTGATACAGGAACTTAAATTTAGTCAGTTAAAATACATTCATAAAATTTAAAATTATCATTAATATATAGGTTACACTTCTTTGTGTATATCTAATATTTTTCATTCTGTTGAGGAGGAAAATTTCACATGTAGGTACAGTGAAAATAAACAGTGAGTATGCAGTTGGGTGATGTATTGTGTTGAGTTCTCCCAAAAGCACACCCTGGACCAACAATTGTGGTGCTAAAGGTTTATTAGGGGATGGTTCCCAGGAGAAGACAGAGAGGGAGTATAAGAAGCCAGATTAGCAAGGGGAAGAAAGCAACTTCAAGTGAAGTCCCACACACAGCCTGGTCTCCCGGGAAACTCTGGATGATAAAAATTTACCTAAGGCTTTGTCTTACCTGCCGTTAAAGGAACTGGCAAGGTGGCTAGCAAGGTGGCTGGCTGTGTGAATAATTTAGAAAAGCTAGTGTTTGAACTCTAGTCTAAACCCTAGCTTTAGACATTATAATAAAATACAACAAACGAGGTGGCTTAAACAACAGACATTTTTTTCTTACAGTTCTGGAGGCTGGAAAGCCCAAGATCAGGGTGTCAGCAGATTCTGTTCCTGGCGAGAGCCTGTCCTGGCTTGCAGCAGCCTCTTTCCTGCCGTGTGCTCATGTGGCCTTTCCTTGGTGTTTGCATGTGGGGAGGGAGAGAAAGATCTGTCTTCCTTTTCTTATAAGGTCACTAATCCATCAGGGGGGTCCCACTCTAAAGACCTAATCTAAACCTAACCACCTCTGCAAGGTCCCAAATACCATCACATTGCGGTGTATGGCTTCAGTGTATGAATTTGGGAGGTAGGGGTGGAGACGCGCTCAGCCCATAAGAGTTAGCTGCCTTTCTATAAAGAAGTAAACCAGCTAGAAAGTGTTAACCGCTTGAAGATACCTGAGAAAAACCAAGATAGCCAGGCCTTCAGGGTCAAAGATCCTGGAGAAAAAGGAAATACCATATAGTGAGTCTGACATTTTCTACATGAAATAATAGAGCCTCAAAATACAGAAAGAAAAATGGACAGAAATAATAGGAGAAATAGACATTACAGATTGAAACACTAAACATAGAGGTTTTTAATATTTCTCTCTCTGTAGCTTATTTAAGAAGTATGCCAAAGAAAAGATCAGTGGAAATACAGATTTTAACAGCAGTTAACAAATTTGACAAAATATTTACATATGTAATTTATATTTATATAATGAGTAGCATATATAAACCGCTGCCTCCAAATACTGCAGAATACACATTCTTATCCAGAGTACCTAGAATATTTACTTAAATTTATTTGACGCCATAAAAATTGTTTCAACAAATCTCGAAGGATTTATATCATGCAGAGTAGGTGCCCTAGTACAGTTGAATTAAGCTAGAAATCAATAATTAAAAAATACTTAAAAACTCAGAAAGGTGTGGAATTTAATTAACACACTTCTCAAAAAGAAATCTCGGTGGAAATCAGGGAACGTTTAAACTCACTGATAACAAAATACTATAGGTCAGAATTGTGAGATGCAGCTTAGATCAAATTGATAACCTTAACTGCACATAATACAGAAGAAGGAAAGCTAAATATTAATAACCCATCCATTGCCTACTTATTCAGTTTCTCAAGAAATTAGAAAGGGCAACAGATTAAACCCAAAGTAAGGAAAAGGAAAGGAATAAAAGAACAGTGCATCAATCAATGAAATAGAAAACATGCGATATAGACAATCAGTAAGACAAAAACATAATAAGAGGATATTTTAACAGACTTCCTCTAATAATTGTGAAAATTTAAATGAATTGAACAAATTATTTGAAAAATTGTGCCCAAGAAATAAAATAAAATTTAAATATTCCTCTGTCAGGTAAAGGTAGTAAATCCATAATTCACATGCTCCAACAGAAAACTCCAGGCTAAAATGAATTCATATGTGAATTCTTCCATACACTTTTAAGGGAGCTACGACTCGAATCTTACACATTCTCTTCCAGAGGACAGAAAAAAAGTCAAAATACTCCCCAACTCTTTCTATGAGACCAGCATAACCTTGATACCAAACCCTGTCAAGGACAAACAAGGAAGGAAAATTAAAAGCCACTCTCTCTCGTGAACAAAATATTGGCATACATGTGTGAAGGGGGTCGGGCTTGGCCTCTGCCTGAGATGCTCTCTTTCAGCTGGGGTGCACATGTGTTCTGAAAGCATGGTGGGTTGCATAACCAGAGAAGCAGTGAAAGCAGGGCCTAGAGCTTTCTTGTCTGATCCATACATAAGTATCTTGAGCATCTTACCTAGGAGAGGATGGAGCGGAAGTGTGACTATAGCTAACAGTAGAAGACCATATTTTTTGTATTCACTCATATTAGAGACTATTATAATTACAGATGTGCTGTTGTGTGTTGGACACCTCTTAGGCAACACATCTTCTCAGCCCCACCTCTTTCTCCAACCAGGACCAAGTTCAACTTCCCACAGGTGTAACAGGGTCTCACATTGGGTGGTACCACTTACCTGTAGCTTCCTGCCCTGTGGCTCCTCTGATGCTGAGGGATGATCTGCTTCCAGGGAATCCACTGGGCACCATAAATTCTGATGGTGGGGTATGGGCACTATTGCCTACCTGTGAGGCTACCTTGACCGACAGAAGATGAGAACTGATGTATAAAATCTTCCACCTTTGTCCTCAAGGGGGAAAGTTCTGAGCTGCATCTCATCAAAAGACTGCTTGGAAATGTTAAGCTTCTCATTTTATTCATACATTGCTTTCCTGATTTTGTTTAGTTATCTGTATCTCACTGAGCTTCCTTAAGATGATTATTTTGAATTGTTAGGCCAGAGACCTTCATTTCTTTGGGGTCAATTACTGGAAATTTATTAGCGTCCTTTGGTGGTGTCACGTTTGCCTGATTTTTCGTGATCTAAGTAGCCTTGCGCTGTTGTCTGTGCATTTGAAGAAGCATCAGTGGGAAGGTCCCTGGGCAGGCAGGTTTAGCCCCAGACTGTGTCTGAGAGGAGCCAGAACTGATTCATAGGGGCGCTTCCGGGTCCATAGCTGGGACAAGGTCTGCAGGCCTGCTGCCTTCAGGGGCATGGAGGCACATGTCTCCTACCAGGTCCCGGGGCAGGTGGGACTGCTCTCGGATTGTGGCCGGGAAGGGCTGGAACCCAGTTACAGGGCCACTTCAGGGTGGGTGTGTCTTCCTCCATGTCCCTGAGTGGGCAGGGCTGTTCCTGGTCTGCAGCTGAGAGGTTGTGGAGCTGGGTTCCAGGACCACTTCTATATCCATAGACAGACTAAGGTTTGAGGGCCTACCTCTGGGGGCAGGGATGACGTGTATCCTGGCAAGACTGCTCCCTAACCGCAGCTGTGAGGGCCTGGGGCCAGGTGATGGGGCTACTTTAAGATCTGCAGTCACACCAACATTGGCTGCTGCCCAGCTGCTGAACTGCAGCTGGGAGGGCTGGGGTTTAGTTACAGGACTGTTTCAGAATCTCCTTTTGGATTAAAATCAGTGGGCCTACCTCCAGGGGGTGCCGTCAGGCGTGTCTCCTGGTGGGTCCCTGGGCGGGGCAAGACTTCTCTGGGCCTGCGGCTGGATCCCAAAGCTCCCACAAAGGGGCTTCTGTCCGTGGATGGCTGCCAGATTATTGTTGCTGAGGGGGTATGTGAGTGGGAGACTTCCTGTTCTGCCATCTTACTGACATCACTTCATATATTACATGTCTGTCTGTCTGTCTGTCTCTCTAATAGTTCTGCAAATTAAAATGTGTTCCCATAAATTATCTCATCTGATTTTTAACTGTAACCCTTTTGAAGGCTGCCCTTCAGATGTAATTCCATGGGAAAAGATATACAAAAACTACATGATTTTAGAAGAACTTCTCTGTGTTTCTTCTCAAATAGGACTTTATATCAGAGATTTTCTCCCTCAGTGGGAACTGTTAGGTCCTTAAAGATCCAGTAATTTAAGTAGAAAGCTAGCCTAAAATCACATTTCAGTGATTTGATGATTATTTGTTATTCTTCTCTTACCTTTTCCCTTGA